TCCCTCCCTCATCTCCCTGCCTCCAGCTCGCTATCCTCCTCTCCTCTCTCGATCCCTCCACATCACTAGCCTGCCCGACGTGTTGTTCTCCCTCCCTCCTCTTGGCACTTCCAGACATCTGCAAGTGCGTCTCCTCCTCCTCCATCATCATCACCACCACCACCATCACCATCTCCTCCTCCTCGTACTCCTCCTGCTCCTGCTCCTGCTCCTGCTCCTGCTCCTGCTCCTGCTGCTCCTGCTGCTCCATATGATCAACGGCTGCTGCTGACAGGCGGGGCTCCTTTTGCTTCACTTTATCACTCAGTTATCACTCCTACTCCTCCTTGCCCTTCGCCGGCTCCGCGAAACTCTGCCAGTACCTGAGGTTGCTACGAAGTTCTGCAGGTGAAGTGAGCCACCGAGGAGAGAGGAGCAAGGAGGAGGAAGGGGGGTGGGGGGGGGGAAGGGAAGAGAAGGGTAGGGGAGGAGGAGGAGGAGGAGGAGGAGGAGGAGGAGGAGGAGGAGGAAAACCTGGTAGGCAAATTTCTCCGACGACAGGTAGAAAATCCTTCATGATCTTGAAAAGAAAAAGATAAGATGAAATATCACGGAGCAGCGGCAGCGGCTGAGAAAGAAGACAAGAGGAGGAGGAAGAGGAGGAGGAGGAGGAGGAGGAGGAGGAGGAGGAGAACTGAAAAGAAACCTGTGGAGAAAAGAAGAGAAAAGCCAGATGCAAGGAGCAAGAGGAGGAGGAGGAGGAGTGGAGGAGGAGGAGGAGGTTGAGTAGAGACTGTGGAGAGCAGGGCAGGACTGACCTCGCACGAGTCCAAGACGATAAAGTTGATGAAACCGATCTGAGTTGTGTGCGTGGATGTGTTATGTCGATTACAGTTGGGAGAGACCGGAATCCCGAGCTCCTGCGGCAAACGTGAGTACGGGAACGGGGGGAGAGAACGAGGAAGCAGGAGAAGCAGAGCAGATGAGATCGTCGGGGGAGCAGAAAGGGAGAGGAAAGATAAGAGGAGGAGGCAGCGAGAAAGGGGACAAAGAGGCGAAGAGGAGTAGGGAGCAGACCATTTCCTTATCCCCTTGCCTGCGGCAACATCCAGTCAGTGGAGGAGGGAGGAGGAGAAAGGGGCAAGGGAAACCTGAAGAACTCCTCCATCACTCGCTCCGCCCAGATCTTGGATAAGTACTCACACCGCATCGGGTTCGAGATGTCTGCCGACCCAACATGTCAATACGAGGAGCTGACCCCTCAACGAGCAAGCACCGCAGAAATGCAGGACAGTCGACATAATGATCTCGGTAGAGTCCTGCCAGGCCTCCATATCGCGTCCCTGACCCCACACCGTCATCCCCGACCCCCGTCTCTTCCTCCTCTCCCCGGGCAGCAGCAGCCGCACCTTCTGCTCCAGCAGCGTTCGGAAGGACGCCATGTGCGTGAAGTGCTTCGACATGTCTGTGTCGAGCACCATCTTGATCATCATCCTCCTCACCTCCGCAAGCTGCAGGTCCGACAAATTCTGTGAGCCGACTCGTCAGCAGCAGCCCAGCGGCGGCCCAGCAGTACGCACCTCAAAAATGTTCATGCCGGGGTTGGCAAAAGTCTTCATGAACAGGGTTGAGATGTGATATTGCTCCTGTGAACTTCATCAGTGCCGTTAAGTTGACGATTGGCAGCCAACCTGTATGCTCTCGTCGTTGAACGACAGCGCCCTCTCCGATCTTCGACGGAAGGTAAGCATGAGAGGAGATGGATGGATAAGTGGCAGGATGTCCATGGAAATTGTGGGAGCGATTGACTAGTAAGGGGGTAGTAGAGAACATGATAATGATCATGTAGGAGAGGAGAAGAAGAGGAGTGGATAGAGGGTGAAACAGAAGCCTCAAGAGTGAGAACCCCACCTTGAATTCTTGTGGAAGTTGTTGTTCAGACCGTCATGCCCCATGTCATGTACAATCGCCGCAAGCAACCTTGGAACAAGTTCAGCTCCCCTTCAAAGCCTCCAGCAACACTTACATCGACAAGACTTCAATCTTTGCAAGATACTTGGACGCCCCTCCAACAGTCAAAAAGTAGTTGACAGCTTGCAGCACGTCCGCTGCATGTGTAGCTGCCGATGATACATCAGGCATACAGTCATCACAGCCCCTCACTCCCATTTCATCACACCTGAATGGTACGGGTTGTCCATGTACTGAGAAGCCACAAAATTCAGCCATTTCACAATAACGTCATCGGTGGTGTGGAAAACTTCTTGTATATCATGTAGATGACTGCCAAACAGTTCAGAGAATATATCAACATGGGCTCTCGGGAAGCATCGCACAGATTGCAGCAAGTCAAACACGAGAAATTTCACACTCCAACTACTCACAGTATGTGCCATCCCAACGTCTGCAGCTCTTGCCCGTGCGTGAGCTCGCGGAATTTCCAAACGTCAAAATCCCAATCGGACACCTGGGACGCTACGATCAACCAAGAGAGCGAGCGGAGGAGGAGGCCGTACATGCTTGAGGGCCTCGCAGATCTGCATCCTCTCATCCTCTGTCACCTACACGAAGCCATTCGTCATCCAGGACGGCTCGACGACGCCGGCAATCACCGTCATCACAGTGTTGGCGCAGGCTTCCTCGGGGGTCGAGAACTTTGACTCCTCCGATGTCACGTGCTTCTTTGCCGCTCTCTTCATCTTGATCGCGAAGCAAATCCCCTTGCTCACTGACTTGAGCCGTGGGACGCGCTTCGAGGGCCCCTGGTTGGTGAAATTCTCTCGTAGCCACTCAAGGATGGCCTCGTCCTGGGTGAGAGAGGGAGTGATGCTGTCGTGTCTCAACACCGTTGGCACAGACATCTCTCCTCTTGACTGCAATACTCGCAGGACATACCCCAGCAGCGTCTTGTTCTCCGAGCTCAGTTGAGGCGTCTTGAAACTCTTGGGTCAGTCCTCCCCCTCTCGCCCGGCCTCCACCGTACCTGCATCAACCGCTCGATCATCGCCGCCGCGTCCTCCTCCGGGGACAGCTGCTTGTGGAATTGAGCGTTCAAGGAGAGAATATTGACATCAGGAAGGCTGCCCGTCCTGTTCAACCTCACAGGGTTCGCAGTCTCAAAGTTCTCCTTATCTCTCCAGGAGTTAGATCGGATTAAGCCCTCCCCGCCCGGGTCAGACGCCGTGCTGTTCCTCTCCTTTCTACGTTTTCGTGTCTCCCCATTCTCCATGTCATGGTTCCAGGAGAAGATCCAGTTGTGCAACGAGCTGCTGAAGACTACCGCCGCAAAGACGAACCCCAACGAAAAGGTGAAGGCATGCAGCCATATGGTTTGCGGTGAGACATCGTCCACCGCAAACGAGATGACACCCATGCAGGTCGATGCTCTGGCGACAATTGGAGTAGACGATGATGTGCTATAAAGGAAAAGGTCAACATGGCAATGACAGAAGCACTGCAAGCTCAAATCTATCGGCTCCAGCCTCTTCGCTCCCTTCACATCACAAGCTCAACAGCTCAAGATCCTATCTCAACTTTGTTCTGCATCTTGTTGCGTCCTAGTTGACATGATTGCAACAGGGTGATCGGTCCAAGCTTCATCGCATCTCTCTGACTATTCCGCTTGTTCAAGGCCAGAAGGGGTGGTGCAAGAGGCTAGTTGCAAACAACGTTCTCCCCAAACTTGCAATTTGCATAGTGTCACTCCTTCTCCTTCATACTCTCACTTTTCAAAATCCCTATCAATCATCGCCCCATCGCTCTACCCCATCACCCCTCCCCTCCCGTTGCTACATGCTTGCGCCTGGGGAGCACCGCTCTAGTGCTTTGACGTGCTCCACCATGATGGGCATCGCTCTTTCTCTCTCCCTCCTCCCCGACTATCTTCCATCAATCTGCTCTCCTCTCTCCCTCCTCTCCCTCCCTCCTCTCCTCGCCATGACTGCTCTCCTCCGGCCACCGCTCCTCCTGCCCCAGCTTCAGCATCGCCCTCCATCGTACCCCACCCTCCCATCCTCCACCCATAGAAGGCAATAATGTACCCCATGCCTCGTAGCGCTACGACCCCTCTCTACGACCAGGGGTACCACCCTACCATGAAACGAGTTACGACCCTACCCTGCACATTTTACGGTCTCATCATCGGGTCAGATAATCACTACCCCTTCTTATCTTCTCATGTAACCACAAACTACCCCCTTCCTCGTCCTCGAGATAACCCCCACCCCCCTTTTCTACCTCATTGACTCCTTCGATGGGGGGGTGGGGGAGGTGGGGGTGTGTGCCGAACAGGGATTCAATTGATGGGAAGAAGGAGGGGTGTTCTTCCTGCACTCCCTTCCTGTAAGATGGGAGGAGGGACGGGGGTGTTCGGGGTGTTGGGATACCATGAATCACATATTGATACACTTATAAATTCCTCCCTCTCAAATCAAATGGTCAGTGGTAACTTCTTCCCACCCCCATCCCTCCCACCCCCACCCCCCGACACAGAATAAAAATTTGCCCATGATCACACTTTTTAGCTTAAAAGCACTTGCACTCAATTCATTTTACCCCTTGGTAGGAAAGGGTTTTACCATTTTTAATATCTCTTTTATACAGAGCGCACTGAGTACCCGGTGACTTTTGTATCAAAGATTGGGTACTTGTTGGGGGTGGGGTCATTCATGATATTGAACATCATTCTTTTTGATTTTGTTCCTGTCATCGTGTAGTAAAGTATGTTACCTGGATAAACGCTATGGGCACTATGCGTACCGTATTTGAGTGATCGAGTCGTCCCTGCGGAAACTCCGGGAGAGCGCCCGGCCGCGCCGGCTCAAGCCCCGGCCCGCCGAGCGGGCCGACGGGTGACGGCTCAGCTAGTTAGCCTCCGGCGCCGCCGCATGAAGCTGCTTTTGACTGAGTTGGTATCCGTGAACATGGGCAACTACCCTGCCCGGCGGCAAGTCACAATCCCGCGGGACAGCCGATCATGATCCCGGATCGGCCGAGATGACTGAGTCAATGACACAACGGTGAACGGTCTCCGTCACATAGTCCGGAGGCTGTTGTGGTGAATGATGACAGCAAACTGACATTGCAATGATCGTGAACTCAGTGCATTCTTCTCGACATAGAAAACCTTTAGAGAGGAAGGAAATAATACAAGGGCCGGAGCCAAGTTGAACTTGGCAGGCCCCATCCGAGGCTCCACTTCGAGGATGAAAAAAATAAGAAGAGGAGGGAGAAGGAGCTACTCGTAGAACATGTAGAAGAACCAGCCTATGAAGACGAGAGTGACGCCTACTGATGCCCAGAAGATCCTCCAGCGGCGAGGGAGCCTGAGGAAGCGACTGAGAAGTTGGAGAAGCGACAAGGGACAGATCATGGTGGCATCAAGAATTGACGTGAGGAGGAAGGTAGAAAGCATTACAGGAAAGAAGCAGGCGGAGGGAACGTCTCGGAAAGCGAGCAGGGCATATCAAGAGAACATGACCACCAGAGGATGAGGAGGGAGCATGAATCGAGGAAGAACGGGCAGGGCGGGTGATACATACCAAGTCTTCTCGGCATTGGCGTCGACGGCACCATATTGGGGAGGATATTCACCCTACATAAGTATGGTCAGCGATCCGAGGGGAGGAACGGTTGTGTTGGACCTTGAGACTAGCTTCATCCCTCCATCCATCCTTGCCCGTTGCTTCGGCGGAGACAAGACCTGCAGGGGAGGGGGGGCGGTAAGGAGAAGCGCAGAGCCGGGGAAGGTTACGGATCTACCAGCGGGGACGATGAAGCCTCTCTGCTGGTGGACCTTTGGGATTAGGGACTCCCGCTCCTCGGTGCTGGGAAGTCTAACGGGTCCGTCGTGCGCTCTGAAATCCACGGAGGAGAAGCCAAACTCTTGGTCAGAGGGCGAGCTCGTCTGCCAAGACAGAAGTCAGGGACTTCCTGGGAACTTCAGTCCTCCTCACCGGTCTGCGCACAGCCCTATTTTCCACAGTGACGCGCACGATGAAGCACGTCGCCGAGTTGCGCCGGAGGACGCTCGTGCTGTCCTCGGCCTGTCTGACGAGGTTCGCTGCTATCTCGGAGCAGGGGGGTCCCGTCCCAGCTGGGTCCGGCAAGATGACGAGGTGGATGTGCAGCTCATGAACACGATACCAGGAGGGGCCCGGGTACAGCTCGTCGAGCTGGAAGCGATAGATCGGAACCTGCAAGCTCGAGCTGATGCTCTGTAGCAGCAGCCTCTCGTAGTGAGACCGACGGCCGAGGTTCGTGGGATCCCCGACTGTGTCCTCCCCGCCGTTCACTTTGTCCCACTTCTCGTTGATGATGATCGTAATGAAGACGGGGCTGCGAAGCAGTCAGTCGGCAACCCAAACTTTCCCTCCCTCACTTTCCCTCCCTCACTTCCTCCCATGCCTCCCCTCACCTGTCCGTTGTCCTCACGCAAGTCCTTCCAAGCGTGTCCTCAACATCGTTGATGAAGATGTTTTCGTAGATCTGCGAGATGTGCGGAGCTGCAGAGCACCGGCCTGGGGTCGAGAGAGTATAGAGGTCGGGAAACGGCTTCACATAGATTGTTGAGGCCTCCTGCCTGTGGGCCTTGTCCGCCCAGAGCGAGACTTCTTCCTCCGGAACGTGCTGCTGGCGGCCTGAAGCATGCTTGCCTGTCCTGATCTGCTCTAGCTTGTGCAGCCCATCCTCGGAGAGATGGGAGCGAGAGCTGTCAGGCCGGAAACTTTCATCCCCATGCTTGTCTGCAGCAGCCTGATACTCCCCTCGGCGTTCGATTCGCTCTCGCAGCTGCTGTGCTCGAGACTTCCTCGGGGCTGAAAACTTGGATTTTAGAATCTCGAGCTCGGCGTGAGCAGGGAGCAGCTCGTCATAGTGCGTCTCGTGGATGTCGGAATCGATTCCTTCCTGGTGATACGAGTGAAGACGATCTTTGCTTGCAGCCTTCAGTTCAGCTTCAAGCCTCCTGTCCAGCCAGTCTAACGCCTCCGAGGTCCTCTTACTCTCCGTCTGCAGCCTCAGCTCCTTGCTCGCGAGGTTTGACAGCCGGTCGGATGCCAAGAGCTCCTGGCTGTTCCTGACGATACTTTGCTCTTCGTCTCGCAGACCAACTGGAGGCAGCAGTCAGACGCACATGCAAGTCAGACGTCTGCCTCCGCTCACCTAGGCTTCGCGGGGAGTGAGGGATTCCTCCGGCCTGCCTGGAATGCGCCATCCTCTATTTCATCCTGCCCAAAGCGATGAGAGGTCGATGCGATATCCAAGGCCATTTGATGGCAACGTGAAGACATTGGAAGGTTGCAAATATTTAGAGGGGGGTAGAGGATACAGCTCGAGCTCTACTAGACTGGTACATGAGAGGAAAACGAGTGTGGTTGAGTTGTGAGCTTTCAAGGGCATGGAGAGATACAACGACATCCATGAACGCAAGGAAGGGTGAAATTACCATGGCAATACGGAGAGCATGAGCAGGATCAGGAGTGGGAGCAAGATATAGAGCAGGAGCAGGAGCGGGAGCAGGAGCAGGAGCAGGAGCAGGAGCAGGAGCAGGAGCAGGATCAGGAGCAGGAGCAGGAGCAGGAGCAGGAGCAGGAGCAGGAGCAGGAGCAGGAGCAGGAGCAGGAGCAGGAGCAGGAGCAGGAGCAGGAGCAGGAGCAGGAGCAGGAGCAGGAGCAGGAGCAGGATAAGTTAGGCACTTCGATCTAGGAAGCTGCCATGCCGGTGTGATCACCCCGACCCCTTGCAACGAATCTGATCTATTGTCACCCCTTATTTTTACCATCTATAACCCCTCATTTTCTAGGGTTATTGAAGTACCCACCCGTACTCCATGTGAAACGCCGGTTCCTATTTCCGTCTTGCGAAATCAGATCCGTTACACAAAGGTATCATATCCGTTGCAACGGTTTCTCGGTGACGGTTTCATTGTTCGTTACACTACCCGAAGAGTCGCGGCCATGGCAGGCAGCAGAATGCCATGGCGGGAAGCAGCGGCGACGGCGGGGGCGATGGCGATGATGGTGTTCATGGTGATGAGTGTAAGGGAGGGGGACAGGGTTGTGCAGCTCCTCGAAGGCAGGGGCTTGCGTGGTGAAGACCTGAAGCTTGCCAGACTGATACGGGAGTCCCGAAAGTTGGGGGTGACTGGAATCCCGAGCTTTCCTCCTGGCGCAAGAAGCACGAAGCTGGATATGGACTACGGCAACGATGAGCTCCCTATCCCCACCCTTGAGCCAGGGTCATCTACTCCTAACCTCCCTTTTCCAAGTCCCTCGAACGCATGGCAAAGGAGGAGGAGGAGTTTGATCTCGAACATGCTTACCATGGACTACGGCGACGACGAGCTTCCTATCCCCACCCTTGAGCCAGGGTCATCTACTCCTAACCTTCCTTTTCCAAGTCCCTCTAACGCATGGCAGAGGAGGAGGAGGAGTTTGATCTCGAACATGCTTACCATGGACTACGGCGACGACGAGCTTCCTATCCCCAATCTTGAGCCAGGGTCATCTACTCCCAACATTCCGTTCCCTCCAGGCTCGGGCGTGGCTGACAAGGCAGGGCGCATGCAGTCTTTGGCACAGGAGGTGGACAATTCCGGCGAGGCACTCGACAGGGCAGGGGTGAAGGTCGGAGCAGACCTCAGCTCTGTCAACTCGCACGAAGATGATCGATATGTAGGAGCACAACATGTCGCTCCTTCTGTTGCGTTCAAGGGGAAGCTCAAGAAGACACAGTCTCTGTATGCTCCTGCATGGTCACCGGACTACTTGGAGCCATACCGTCATCCTTCTTCAGAGCAGAGTGCATGGCAGTGGATGAGTAAGGCAAAGAAACAGCACAAGAACGACCTTGCAGTCGAGGACAAGGAGGCTGCTGATGCTCAAAAGTCTCTGGATGAGATTGTGAGTGACGTTTGGAACAAGAAGATTGAAGGCCAGGGCATCGTGGGTGCGCAAACGAAGGCCAAACATGAGAAAGCTGCGGCAACAGTCCCCGAAACCAGCAAGTCAGTGGCAACCAAAGAGCTGGGAAAGCCAGTCGCTGCAGCACAGAAAGTTGCTCAGGCCACGGGGTCTGCCAGCAATTCTGTGAACCCTCGATCCCACGCAGCCTCTGGCAGACCTGAGCGAACGCAGAAGCTTGTTTCTTCCTCCGTTCCCACCAAGCAGTTTGCATCAAGTGGCAAGAAGGGAGCTGCCCAGGAGACATCTGACAAGCCTCAGATGGAGTTAGAGAAGCTCGAGCTTGCGGAAGACATCCTTCATCACAAGACTCAAGCCAAGGCCAACAACGTCCTCCATGCGTCTGCGGTTGCGAAGCCTGACGTGGCCGCCTCAGTAACCAAGGGCGAGCATCAAGTCTCGTCGGCGAAGAAGGTGAAGCATGGCTCTCTTGCGCTGCCAGCCGTTAACGATGACTGTCCTCTGCAGGAGTCGCACCAGCAAGCGCTGTTCGCCCATGGCTTCGGCACCACCAACCGCTTCCAGGCTCAACCGTTGAGCGCGTCCAAGAATCAAGATCGCCACGTGTACGGCTCTGACGCAGAGGCGGGTGACGTGGGCCATCCCACGAGCTTCGACTCTATTCCCCTCGCTTCCCCTTCCACCTTCATGTCTCGAGTGGCGGCGTATGAGCCTTCGGGAGTGAGTTCGGAAGAGCGCGTCCGTTTGGATCGCGAAGTTTACCGTGGGCAGGTAGACAGCAGCAGAGGCGATACATCGACCTGGACTGACGCCTTCCCAGGTGCTGGCAGCATGGCGCAAGTACGAGCACGGACTCCAGCAGTGCATGGAGGCCGAGTCGACGATCGACCCGACCCTCAAGGACTACAGCTGCAAGGACGTTTCCAAGGGCTTCAAGTACCTCAGGGACTGCATGCAGAACCACAACTTCGGCCTACAGGACGTGGGAGGAGTCAAGCTCAAGTTCGTCGGTGACGAGAAGGCCTGGAGTGCCCTGCCGAAGCTCGTGCAGTACACCTACACGCTTCCTACGAAAGACTACGAGAAGGTCTACAACGTTCTCAGTCAGAGCGCCATCTTCGGCACCCTGTGGAACATGGAGAGACTCCATGCTCGCTGCGCGGCCACCGGCAGCACGGAGGCTCCTGGGCCGAGCCGAGCAGCGGTGATCAGCTCGATCGACAGGGACGTGAGGGGATACGACGAGGCCATGCGGAGGCTGATGCCGGGGACGCCGACGCAGCAGAGAGGGTACGACATCATGCACAACGGATACAACGGCATGGTGTGGCATTACCCGGGGGTGGCTCGAGGGGTTTCGAGGGGTTACTGGAAGATTCCCAGCTCGTCGAGAGAGGTGGCTCCCTCCGCCTCCAGAGCCTCCCTCCCCTACTGGCGGGAGGTAGCTGGAAACCAGCCCACTCTCGGAGGGCTCCGCAGAGTCCAGCCGCGCGCGAGGCTCAACCCGGACACAGCTGGGCCTGCTGCCTTCCCGACGCGAGTGAATGGGAAGCGAGTGCACCCAGCGAACCCTCGGCCATGGCAGGCGAGCAAGGGAGCGCCGGACCCCTGGACAGGCTACTACTGGACCGGGCCCGGGAAGTTTGACATCGTGCCGGAGAGTCACCCGGTGACGCAGGCGATCTCAGGGTACAACTACCCGACCACCGCAAAGCCAGCTGCCGGCCTGCTGTGCGTGGAAGACGTGGAGTGCCCGCAGATGAGCGTGTGCTCGAGTGCTGGGTTCTGCCGAGCGTGGGGGGGAGACGACGTATGGCACGTCCCTGCTCAGCACGGCCTATGGCCCGCAAACTCCAGCCCTGACTGGTTCTAGCCGTGTACGATTAAACTGAGAACCTCGTGGTTAGGGAGCCTGCAAGGGCCTCGAGCGTCTCCATGACGTTGTCCAGCCCCAGCAGCACCTCCTCCATGTCCAGTACCATCCCTTCCGTCTCCCCCAGCTTCTGCGCAAAGTAGTCCCGTACCTCCAGCATCTGCTGGATCGTTAGAGGGCGGGCGGCCAACCCCTCCCCACTGACCTCGTACAGACTTTCCACTGCCGTCGCCAAGCACGCCGACTGCTCCTCCTCTGTCGACAGCAAGGCTTCCACGTCCTCACGCGCCTGGGGGGGCTCAGTAGCGCTCGGGGAGCTGCGTCAGGCACCTCGAGCACGAGCAGCTTCACAGCGCTGGCGCAGCTCGTCGCCGCTTCCTTCAGATGCTTGGAGCTCGTGTGCTCCTCCACTGCCTCCCTCCTGTTCCTCCGGAGCATCTCCGCCTCCTTCCTCCCTTCCTCTACCTCCCGCTGCAAGCTTGTCCTCTCCTCCCCCCACCGTCTCTCTGCCTCCCTCTTGCTCTTCCTCAAGCCCTCCATCTCCCTCTCCTGCTCCTCCAGCTGCCGCACAAGGCCCATCCTCTCCTCGCTCCACCGCCTCGCTCGCTCGCTCATCATGGTCTCAGTCTCCATGGCAACCTGGACGTACTCGCGGCTGGAGGCGAGCTCTTGGAGAAGCACCTGCCGCTCTTGCTTCCAATTCACCTCCTCGGCGAGACGCTTGTCGAGCTCCCACTGTGACTTGCGATTGCCCTCTGACCTCTCATACGCCATCGCCACGTGCAGTTCTCTCTTCGCAGCATCGAGCTCCTGCAGCAGCCGCACCACAGTCTCGTTCTGCTCCTCCTCCTTCTCTCCCGCTCTCTCTGCCATCCGATCGCTCGCAATCTGCTTCAAGTCTCCGAGGATCTCGTTGGCCTGCAGCACGAGGCATCAAGGCACCAGGCTGACCAGCTCCTCCTCCTCTCCGCACCTCCTCAAAGGCTTTTCTCAGCTGCTCCTGAAGCCCCACGGGAGTCTCACGTCTCGAGTCCGCGAGCTTGACGCGACTTGACCCCTGCCGCTCCTTCTCAACGAACCACAAGATCTCTATGAGCATCGTCAGTACTCCCAACACCTGAGCCAACATGTCAGCTCCCCCCCAGCAGAGGCGAGCGAGGACCAGGTCTGACTCTTCGCTCTCGACGCCATGAGCCGACTGGAAGGAGTGCAGTCGTGTGCGCGCTCCTGTGAGACTAGTCAGCGAGGATGAGACAAGTGCGCGAGGAGACGTGCCGAAGATAAGCTGCATCCTGCGAGGAGCCGACGGGTAGAAACAGACTCAGCAGCTGCCAACGTCTTTCACCCTCCCTCACCTCGCGACATCGTTGGGCTCCGAGCCTCTCGACCGCAGCTGCGACAAGATCTCGTCGCAGTCGCAGCTCAGCAGCCTGTGAAGCTCCACCACGTGGTCCAACGTTCTCCTTGCTCCAGCCAGCGCGAGCTCGGGGCCGTCCCTTGCCTCTCAAGTGCCTTAGCGACAAGATGGGCAGATAGGTTCTCACCTCGACAGAAGGGGGAGGTCGCAACAAATCAGCAGAACAAGCGACTGACCATGCGGTCAACGGGAACTTGTGGAGATGTCAGCTTACCATCCAGTCTCTCAACGTTTCTGCTGCTCGTGTCAAGACGCTCTTCTGTCCTGCTAGACATCTCCAGTTGCTTGCGCAGTATCTGGATCAACTTGGTTTTCTTGTCTTGGTCTTGCGCCTGCGTCTGCTGCTTCACATAATCTCGCCGAAGGCTCTTCTGCAGCTCCACCACCTCCTGATCAAAATCCCATCGGAACTGCTTCAAGGTCTTGCAGAGCTTGTACGAGTGACGTTGGCATTGCGCGATGCTGTCGAGCGAGACTTTGGTCTTCATCTGATAGGAGTCGAGCTTCTGAGCAAGAGACTGAATCTTCAGCTCTTTCTCGTTCAACAGCGTCACGATCTCATCTTCGAGATGTCTTTTCAACGAGGAATGCAAGTTGTCATGACCTTGCTCAACTTCTTGCTGCATGATTGAAACGTGTCTGAGATTGCTCCTCATCCTACTCTCTCCGCTCTCCGTTGCTTGCCGGCGACAAACAGGTCAAGGAATCATTGTGTTCTACAGGTCGTCCTATTAGCTCAGGCCCTGCATGAGAAGCGTCATCCAGGCAACTGGCTCAATGCGCAAGGCATGATCTTGTTGCTTCGCAAGAAACATCCTCCACCTCTGCTCTCCCTCCCAAACAACTCCATGACTGTCTGGTAGCTCGCCCCCTAGCTTCGACCTCTTCACACACCCCTTATGCTCGCCCGGCCCCCTTCACTCCATCCTTCCAAGTCTCTCCCACGAGCAACCGCCATCCTCCTCGAGAGGCTTCTGAGAGAGGCTCTCGTAGCCAGGCAACGGGGAAGGAGGAAGGGGGAGCAGCAGAAGCAGCAGCAGCATCACAACGAGCGAGCCGGCGGTTACTACCTGGCCATGCGCCTGGATCAGTCATAAGAGTCCCCACGCGGACTCGATACGGCGGCTGTCACCCGGCCCGGGCCCGGCAGCCGGCCCGCGGGGCGGCGCGGGGCCCGATGACTCGGAGCCGGGCCCGATCTGACCGGGGTCGGTCAGACGGGTACTATAGGAACTTCCGCCGCCGCAGTAGCGGCACTCAGTGACTGGCGCCCGGGCCCGGGCCGGGCAGCCTCGCTGGAACTTCCGGAAGCCACGGTCACTGCTACCTGAGCAAGTTCAAAACTCACTGAGTCTGAGTACTACGGCGAGGACTGCGGGAAGCCGGTGAACGGCGAGTTCAGTTGCCAAGTTGACTCGTGACTCCGTGACCCGGGACTCCTCCGACACTGAGCACACAGGTGTCCGGGACCCCTCCGGCGGGAGTCCGACGGTCCGACCGCCGGATCGGTGACCGTCCGATCGGGGCCGCCGGGAAGTTACGGTTCGGAAGGGGGCGCTTCAGTGTTACTTTTCAAGATTACTCAACTCAGTTGAAAGATCACGGTACCGCAGTACAAAACTCTCCCCAATGCTCCAGGTCAGATGACCGGTACTTCGTTATCTGGAGGCCATTTTTACCCACCCCACCCCTGCCGAAAGAGATTTTCTGTCCTGTACAACTTTGAACCCTCTTGAGCCCCCACCCCTCGTTTGACCACCCCTGGTTTTACCGCCTCTTGAACCCCATGGTAAGATCAGACCGGTCAACCGACAACCCCTACCTACCTACCCCTACCCCTAACCAATACTACTATATCACCCCTCCAACGGCGAGCTCCGGTCTAGTTCGTACCGGACCCCCTGACCCCCCTTCCTTACCTACTCGTCAGTCCTGGGGTTAGTTCGTTATCTCCGGAGCGACATGGCGGACATGGAGGGACCGTACGTGTCGCTGGCAGAGTTCATGGCAGCAGAGCGACTGCGAGCTTCGCTTCCTCATGCTACTCCCGTCACTCACTCCACTCCGACACCAAGTTCCATGCATTCTTCGCTGGACATGCTCGACAAGACAGAGCATGCATTGAGGACCCGAAGTTACAACAAGTTGAATCATCCTGGCGGGCAGGACGGAGGGCTCAGGAGGAAGACCAAGTCGAAATCTTACAATCCCCCACCTTCTAATAAGCATCCTGCGCTGCCATTGCGAAGCAAGTCCTCTGCCCTGCACCGCGGTGTTTCTCCACCCCGTCCTTCATTGCCGTTCCATGACAGCACTTTTGCTCTCACTGCTACTGCCCAGCATCAAGTTGACAGCCCCAACTCTACCTTCCTCGAGCCTCTGTCGCCGCTGCTTGTGTCGCGGCCTGCAACTTGTATATCCATGGCGACAACGATGAGTTCTTCGGAAACAGGGTCCATGATGAAGAAGGCAGAGGTGAGGAAGGAGGACAAGGGCTCTCAGTGCAGCATGCAGGACCTGCAGGAGATCGAGGGGACCCTGAGAAGATACTTCTTCTCTCACAACCCAGCGCAGGGGGCTCTCCTCCCTTACCTCCACTCCCACAGCAGGTCCAAGTCCCCCCTGAGGAGATCGGACGAGGCCAGGGAGGAGGCTGTGGAGGAGGGCGAAACGAGGCGTCCGGACGAGGACAGGTACTACAGCTGCATGTCTTCACTCGGGAGCAGCAAGGGGCATCAGCGACTGAGGAGGAGGATCGGCTCCAGAGAGCCTGCCATGACTCGGATGTACTTCTATGAAGTCCTAATGACGGAAGACAGGACTTTCCCTAGGGTTGACTACTCGACCGACTACCGCAGGTTCTCATACACAGACTTCAAGGTCCCCGAAGACGTGGGCCGTTCCAACATCAGCCCGGAAGCGATCGCAGAATGGATCTTGGAGGCGCAACCCCGCAATCAAGACGATGTCTACCCGCTGTTGGTGCTATGCAAGGATCTGGTAAGGAAATACCATCTGCGCGAGGTGTATTACACGATCAAGAAAGAAAGCTCGATGAGGGAAGAGGTGGAAGAGCTGACTCGCAAGCTTCAGAGCTCGAGCCAGAAGATCGACCTTCTCTGTCAAGAGATCCGCGACCAGGACGCCAGCTACTCTCAGAGGGTCAGTGAGCTGACGGCAGAGATCGGATCGTTGAGAATCAAAGTCGAAGAAGCTGAATCGATCCGACAGAGGCTGGAGGAGGCAGAAGCTGCCTTGAGGGAGGAGCGAGAGAATTTGAAGAGAGTGGAGGAGAGCTCGAGCTCGAGCTCCAACATGTACGAGATGCAAGTGCGGAGCCTCGCCAAGAAGGAGAAGCAGTTAGAGGAGGAGAACTCATCGCTGACAAAGGAGTTGAGGAGCGCGAGGGAGAACTACATGACACTGGACCAACAGCTGCTGCAAGAGAGAAAGTTGTCGGAAGAACTGAGGGAGCAGGTGAAGCAGATGTCAAACCTCTCTCCAGATCAGCTTGTCCAGCTGATTGATCCTGCCAAGAGGCTGCCACTGCTGAAGACTTTGCTGGGCGATGGGGAGCTGGTGGGGAAGTTGTCGAAGCTAGACGGACAGGAGATGCCCGATAAGTCGCAAGACAGTCTGCTGAGGTGTGTGGTAGAGGCGCTGGACGATAGGGGCAAGAGCACAGGGAAGGTGAACCTTGACGTGGAGGGGGTGGAGCTGTACAACAGCGTCGTCGGGCTGCTGAGTCGGGACTTCAGGGAGTATGAGAAGTTTGTGGGCCTGGTGGATGTCAGCTCGACTGGCTCGCTCTCGTGGAAGATCGTGCGGGACGCCATGGAATCGCAGGGGAGGGGCGGGCGAGTGACTGAGGCCCTCAAGCTGCTGCTCGACGCAGACGGGAAGGAGCTCGGCTCGAGGCTCTTCGACGTGTCGCTGCAGGGAGAGGAGGAGCTGGAGGAGCTGCTGGAGCTGTTCAAGCGCTGGTACGAGGGGAGAGGCAGGCTGCAGGGGCTGCAGGAGACGGACGAGGCGCAGCAGAAGCGGCAGAAGTACAACCTGTTCGACATGACGAACCTGGAGGTAGAGCCCTTCCCGCTCGAGGAGACGCTGTGGATGATCGGGGAGATCATCGACTTCAAGTTCGAGGCCGACTACGAGAACGAGTCAGAGCAGCGTCCTCGCCTCAACCTCGTCAAGACCATCCGCAGCTTCATGGTCAGCAGGTTCGTGCACAAGAGCAGAAGCGACGAAAACACCAGGAGACTCTGCGCTGCCATCCTGCGATGGCAGGAGCAGAGCCCGCGGGTTCGCATCTTCGGCATCTGCAGCGGCATGCTCGAGATCGAGAGCCACTGGACGGAGAGGTCCGTCTGCGTCCTGATGCTTTTCTGGCAGCAGCTCAAGGTGCTCAGTGATCCCGGGCAGGAGTCGCTCCCGCCGGAGGAGCGAGGAGAGGGCTGGTCCATCTTCGGCCCCTGGCTCGGAGCAGCAGACAGGATGGTGGCAGTAGAGCATGTCAGACAGTCGGTGCAAGCAGCTTGCGACTCTCCCTTCGCCTTCGGACCCATGGAAGGGTTCGAGGAGGCGCTGGAGAAGGAGGAGCAGGGCGGGCGCGTGTCGCTGGACAGGAGCAGCGAGCTGTTCATGAGCTGCTGGTTCGACCAGTTCGACCGGGCGAAGCAGAAGCTGCGGGAGCTGTTCGTGGCCTTCGACGTGAACCACGACGAGACGCTCGAGATCTCAGAGTTCATCCAGCTGCTGCGAGCGACGCCGATGAGAATCCGGCAACATGACGCGATCAACCTGTTCAACGAGCTCGCGGGACCTGACGACACCATGGACGAGGAAGAGTTTGCAGAGATACTCGTCTTCTACAAGTTCAACACCCGACATTTGCTTTCGATATCTACAGAGAGATGATGCTGCACGCTACTTCGCCTCCTCCTCCTCCTCCTCCTCCTCCTCCTCCTCCTCCTCGTCCCTCCTCTCCTCGACCTCTCTTCTTGTTTTCTCGCTTCATTGGTTCGAGCTCGCTGATAAAATTTCCTGTCGTTGCATGACAAGCAACTAACGGTAGGGGAGCTGTAAAGATTGTCAGCAGAAGGATTAAACAAGGAGGATGGGCCATGGCCAGAGGGGAGGAGGAGGGAGGGAAAGAGGAGGGAGGAGGGAGG